AGAGAGAGAGGGTATTATTTATATTCGTGTGACTGTTGTTAAGTGCTGAGAGGTTTATTGGGTCATGTGTGCAATCAGGGGTTGTAATACAGCTTAACAAGGGTGAGTTTGGGAACTCAGTCTAGGTCTACCTAAGTAAGCACAGGACAGTATTTCTGCCAACTGTATAGCAGGTGTTCAAAAATAACTTCAGCCATTCTAATATTCATCTAATCCTCTAATGCAATGCAGAAACATCACAGGGTTTTAAATGGCTTGCAAAAGACCTTTCCCTTGGTTAATATTTATGTGCATAGTAAACTAACCTTTTATGAAAACTATAGCAGGTGTGTGAAGGATTTTTCTGTTTCATTATTAATTTGTCAGTTATATCTAAAAGCTACTTTGCAGAAATTGATGTAATCCATAATTCTGAGCTATATTTACTGACGAGCTTTAAATTGGCATAAATTGCCCATGTCAAGGGAACGTCTATCGTCTACAAGTGTTTACAAAGCTAAAATCTTATTCCTTCTAGTTAATATATGCAGGAATAAGAGTAGCGGGCCTTCTCAGAGTTGTTTTTGTGTTAATTAGAACAAGTATATTTATACATGTATTTGGGAACAGAGTATTTGCTCCAATCTCAGTGTAAATGGTAACATTCAGGCAAAGAGGGGCATGTACTATTTATAATCTAAAAATAAAATAAAAAAATTGTGTAATATAAAATCACAATAATGAAAATTCAGTTTAAGTTTATGTATTTGTTCTTGAATTCCACCCCAAAATACAATACATCTAATATGGTACTCTGTTAAAAAGATAAATACAAATTCACATGGTAAATATTTATCCAGCAAAATATTGTGTTACAAGAAGATGATGCCATATATTTTTAATGTGATCAGCAAAATGCAGAAATATTTTTGATCTTTGAATATATTGTATGAGATTAAAGTTATTTCCATGTTTTAACATCTGACTTGATGATTGTTAGTATACTAGTTGTAATAAACAACAACGACAACAAAACGTATTTATTTATCCAAGGACATTGCTATGGTAAAATATTACTAGGAGCTTGAGCTCAAAGATAATTTGGTGACCCCTTCCTAAATCTCCACCTTTTGCCTTTCTCCAAACATCACCTTATGCCCTCCACAACTTCACCACTTAGCAGGCCTCTTTACACACTCATAGTCACTGGTGGAACTACAGGAGGTGCATGCAGTGCCAGCAAGCTTGGAGGGCCTATTGGGTGTCACTCACATATTGGGACACTGACATACAATGGGCATCTCTGATCGGGGACTTGGTTGAGTGCCGCTATCCTTTAAAA